TCAGAAAAATACCAGTGTTCATGCTTTGATCCTAAAAGTTTCTGTCTTCAGTACATTCTAATTCCAGGGAAATATTAGCCCACTGCAAATGGTTATTCTGGGTTTTGCAGTGGGAATAGTTTAAACTACTTGGCCTTGGCTTTTATGATCCAGTATGTATTTCAGTCACTTTTAAAAGATATATATGCTATATATTTAACATCTACATAAGCATATAAGTAGATGTTTCCTACAGAACAGGAAATTGTTTTTATTTGTCTTATTCATCATTTTATTCCCAGGCCTTAATAAAGGTCAAATTCCCTTCTCCTTTTAAGTSTGCCTTCTTCTAATGATATTCATAAAATATTTTGCATCTTGAGAATTATCTTAGGCTACATTTCAGAATTCTTGGATCCAATCCTGGTAATGCCACATAAAATAGTTGTGATACTGAAGCATCTCCTCAACTGAAAGCTTGTGAAAAAGCTCAGTGTTAAACAGGTACGATTGAAGAAGGAACATCCAAAGTCCTCTCTACTGGGACATAAGGTCATACAAAGCCCTCAAGAAACTTAACAGCATTAGAGACAAATTGAAAGTAAACTTCTAACTCTCATGTAGACCTGATGAAATATTGACCTGGTGCGAGGTCAGAAATCAATGCATGCATCGGCTTTGGAAGTGACCTATACTTAGGGACTATAATCAAGTGCTTCAGCCATGGGAATTTGATGGCCTAGGACTAGTTAGTTAACTACTATATGAGTTATTTTTCTTACCTGCTATCTGACAAGAACAACTTAGAGGAAGAARAGTTTGTTTGGGCTCATAATTCCACAGATTTCAGTTCACCGTCCTGACACTAACATCTTCAGGGAAGAAATATTTATTTGGGCTCATGGTTTTAGAGGTCTCAATTCACAGTCAATCCGATTGCTCTGTGTCTGAGATGTAGCAAAAGGGTATGGTGGAAGAAAACTGCTCAGCTCATGGTAGCCAAGAAGCAMCAAGAGAATAGGAGGGGCCAGGAAGAAATGTATAATCCCCATGGGATGCCCCCAGTGACCCACTCCCTGTAGACACAGCCCACCTGCCTAGAATTCTTATTTGCTAATAAAAGAGTAATTCAAATTATTAATCAAATGGATCAATCCACGGGTTTAAGTTAAGRTTCTTAGATCTAATCGTTTTACCTCCTGTATTAATGTAGGAGATTTTTTTGTTTGTTTGTTTTTTGAGGGGTTGAGCCCAGGTGTGCTCAACCCCTAAGCCACATCCCCAGCCCT